TTTTTTTTCTCTTTAATGATTCACTTTCATTCTTTTTTGGGGGGATCGGGGAGGGTATTATAGTAATTTAAACCAAGCAGATCCTGCTGGCCTAGTTTTCGAAACTGAATCTGACGACACGAGATAATGAGTATGGCTTTTATGAAGGGTTTGAAAATATCTAGACAGTTTTTTAACGGTTGAGATTGAGATACATATTTCACTTGAGGTAAATCGTGTGACTGTGGCCAGAAAAAGAAATTATGGCCAGAAAGAAAGGAAAAGGAAAAAAATGAAATTGTTCAATTGGAATCCAAGTCCAGAGTTAGAGGACCAATGGGTTTGGGCTTGGTGCATGAGATGTCATTTTCGGTCGAATACAGGTAAAAACAAGAAGAGTTAAAAATAAATTAAAAATAGTATAGTTAAATATTGTATGAATAGTAATATAATAAATTTATAATTTTAATATATTGTTTATAATTAATTATCTTTAATTTTTTTAATATTAACTTCTCAATATTTGATAAATACGTTAATTTTTATTAATTCAAAATCAAGTTGTGATAAATCTTAAAAAGGAAAAAATTCTATTAACAACTGTTTATGTATTTAAAAGATTTAAATTCAATATTTTATTTTAAAAAAATTAAATTCTTTCCACTCAAATCAATATATCATTTATTAATTATCTTTATTTAATAATACCATATACATTCATTTAATAAAAATGTGCTACAACTATAAATTTATAACTTTTCACAATATTTCATTTTTTTTTAAAGAACTTCTCACAACATTGTAATTAAATCATTACCCCTATAAAAAGCCAGAAAATTACAGAGCTGAGGTGGTCTGTGGATATCAAATAATAATCAGATTCTGAAGGTACACGATTACTTAAAATGAGCATAATTAATATAGCATAACAGGCCGAAAGTGGGGACACCTAATTCTCTATCAGCATTGAACACACAATAATTTTATTTGTCAATATAATTTCACATTCTGTTAAGTGTAGTGGTGATTGTTTAAACACACAATAATTTTATTTGTCAATATGATTTTACATTGAGTTAAGTTTAATGATAAAGATAGTTAACCCTTTTCATTCAATAAGATTTGTTATTTACGTCCGGTATTATAGAATCTAAAGAGATGTTTTTGACCCATTCTCAATTTCTCATATTAAATATAAAAAGAATACACATCATTTAAATAAAAACAAAAAAAATGCTTGAGGAGTTAAGCTTGAGAAGCAACCATGGCACGTTACTATCAATCAAATCTAGCATGAAGTAACAGCACCCTTCAAAAAAGTGGGGCATTAATGCAGAATGCTAGTAGCCCTTCGATCTCTTCCATGTCATTTTCAACCACTTGGGGTCTATTTAACACATTAGGTCCCTTCCATTCATTGATGTGTTCATTTGAGTGTTGCTATCAATTTACTCCGATTTCTTATTGCACGCCTTGGGGCAGGATGGGGTTTGTCTATATTTGTTAAAAGGCCATAGAGGCTCATCACTTGCCTTGTATTGGTATCCTAATGTCACTTTCCCCCATAATACCTCCACAAATAAATGCAC